AGTGGTTCTGATTTACTATCACTGTTCTCTAGCTGGTCTAAAACCGCTTTTGACCTAAAGGGACACTTTTTGGACGCCATGGACTTTTCTCAGTTTCCAGGCAGAAAGAACAGTAAAAATGCAGGCAGGGCACTGGACAAAGCACTAGGGACAAAATGTATGTGAAATGGTTTGATACAGTAATGTTTTACTATGTGATTTTAGTGTATTGAGTGAATGTCACTTTTAAAATATTTGGATTTCCCGCCGGTTCTGTCCCCCGTACGTCCCGACTCTCACAGGGGACGGAACCCGGAAGATGGATGCCGGCATCGGCCGGAGAAGATGGCCGGGGTCACTGCAAGGGGGAAATCGCGGGAGCGCAAGACAAGGTAAGTGAAACAGGGATCCCTGAGCAGTGCCGCATGGTATTCTTGAGTGTAGCTCAGGATTACAGCTTTTGGTACTGAAAGTTTACCCCGAGCTACACTTGGGAATACCGCCAGGGAGGTTAAAATAAAATCAACATGTTTTATTTGGTGTGGTATACCTCATAACCCCTGTGTGCTGATGGCCATTTCTTCTAAGGGCACCCGACTCTCCGGTGCATGCTCATTCCCTGGAGTTAGTGCAACTGGCTACCTAGCATGCACATCCAAAACACACAATTGTTAACAAGTTGCCATAGCAATGGCAGCATCAGTGGAAGTTCCCACCCTATTATTTAAGCAGCTTGTCAACAATAGTGAAGCCTGAAGCAACAGAGGCACGTTTTGGGGACATGTTGTCCTCCCCTGTTGTTGTCATATCCTGTAATGAATAAAACACCCCAAACTCAAGGTCACACACACAGTGTTTTTGCGTTTGCTTGCGCCACCTCACACTGGATCTCTTGGTACTTTTGAACCATGTGATTTGGTTGCAGTGCATTTTAACCACTTAAGGTCTGGACACTTTATACCCCTTTCCAGTCCATGCCAATTTTCAGCTTTCAGTGCTATCACACTTTGAATGACAATTGCACAGTCATGCAACACTGTTCCCAAATGAAATTTGTAGCATTTTTTGAGACAGATAAAACTTTATTTTGGTGGTATTAATTCACCACTGGGATTTTTATTTTTTTGCTATATAGATGAAAAAGTCCAAACATTTTGAAAAAAAAAGTGTTTTTCTTATAAAATTTTGCAAATAAATAATCTTTCTTCATAAATCTTGGCCAAAATGTATTCAGCTATCTTTTTGGCAAAAAAAAAAAATAACCCAAATTAGTTTATAAAAAAATGATAATTTTTCCCAAAAAGTTTTACATTTTTATTTATTTTTTATATTATTATTTATGTATTTTTTTACACTGATTGCTTTTACACCCATAAAGGCTGTAAAAGCAATAATTTCTCCTTCTCTCTGGCTGCATTCCTGGAACCATTGAGAAATACTTTGAGAGCTGTGATTGGTCACAGCTTGTCACATGGTAAAAGACTATTGTGAATAGCCTTGTACAATGTGACCAATGTGATCATTCACAGAATTCACAAGTACTAAACAATGCTGTTAGGAAGTGACATCTTGTTTACAACTGTTCATGTGATCACTGATTGGCCAATCAGTCATCACATGAATCTGATCTTACAGCGCGGTTACGTATAGCGATCTGTGTTCCGTTGTGTCTGCATCTTCCCCCCGCAAGAGGTTAAAAAGTACTTTGGTGGAGTGTGGTGCGATTTCATGTGTATGTACTGTATGAATGTGAGTTAACCTACCTGGCGGTATTCCTGAGTGTAGCTCGGGGTAAAATTTCAGTACCAAGAGCGGTAACCCCGAGCAACACTCGGGCTTTCCATGTGGTGTTGCTCAGGGATTCCCTGCAGCGCTTACCTTGTCCTTCGCTCCCACGATGCGTCCCCTGCAGCGTCCCCAGCCATCTCCTCCGGCCGATGCCGGCATCCGGCTTCCGTGTTCCGGTTTCTGTGACATCGGGACGTACGGTGGCCGTAACCGGCGGCAAATTTTAAAATTTTAAAAAATTTCATTTTTTTGTAAACGAATATCACATAGTAAAACATTGCTGTTTCAAACCATTTCACATACATTTTGTCCCTACTGTTTTGTCCTGTGCCCTGCCTGCATTTTGACTGTTCTTTCTGCCTGGAAACTTAGAAAAGTCCATAGCGTCCAAAAAGTGTCCCATTAGGTCAAAAGCGGTTTTAGACCAGCTAGAGAGCAGCAATAGTAAATCAGAACCACTTGCAGAATTGAGTGATAATGATTCGTGGGGAAATTCCTCATCAGACACTGAAAACAATTCTGCGACTTTGCTCAGCGATGTGCGAACTTGGCGCTATATTTCAAATTTCAGTGTTTTTGGTTTGATTATATTATTGAATTAAATTTATTATTATATTATTATTTTTTAGGATTATTTATTAAATTATAATTTATGATTTCGTATTTCAAATTTTATCATATCCGGAATGTTTACTAGACTCTTTTTTGGACAGATTTCAGTAGGTTATTCCTAAAAATTACAGGCCTACAATAAAAAAAATACATATTTCCATGCAAAATAATGGTACCGCTTTCAGCACCAAAAATCTGAAATAATCATACTGCCAGGGAGGTTAAGGACCTTAATTTGTAAGTTACTTGAGGGTTAAGGACTGATGTGATTGTACAATGAATATGTATATGTACATTGTACAATATATATGTACGTAAATTGACGGCACTATATAAGTACCTCAAATAAATCCAGAAAGTCTAATCAGCAAAAGTGCTATGTGTGCTTTACTGGTCGTTACTTACCCTTGATAACTTATCTTTCAAATCTTACCTTGACCAAAGGCTTCTATACGTAGCTGTGAGGCCTACCTGGCACAGGCTTACACATTTCCACATTGAAGAGTCTATGGTACTGAGATGTTTAAGGATAAAGAAACTACCATCAACAGTATATTCAGATTCTTTTCTTAAGGAATAGAATGACATCCTCACTCAATGTTCTATGACTCTCATGAAACTTATTTTAACATATGAAGAAAAATTATTGCTTGAGGTGAATCAGAATATAACTTAAATGAAGGAATCGGTTGCACAACATCACATGCTTGCCGTGTATGGTGATCTTAATGAGGATCTTATGTTCAACATCAATAATCTGGAAATGGAGATAATGGAAACAAAAAGGTCTAAATATTTATGGGATTTAAAAGGATTATGAAGAAGGAACTGTGTATGTGAATGAAACAGAAGATTCCCACACTCTATATTGAAAAAAAAAGATCAGGATCAACATCAGACAAAAGGGTTAACTTCAGTTCACCTGAAGCTTTGGATACTCAATATGAACTTTCAGATACAGTTGAATCAAGGTCTCCTAATACCTCCTGGAGCTCGACGGGGTTGGTTTTTTCCAGAGAAGTTTCTCCCGATCCACCGGGACAAAGCCCTCAAGTAAAATCCAAAAAGCATTTGCAAAAAGAAACAAAATGACAAGACAGGGGTGGACATGTTGGCAAAACAGGATACAGAAAATATCTGAAACGCACAAAGAAAACCAAGGGATAGGTACTAGTAATGTTGTTAATTTATCATCTACACCATTATCTGATTATGAACTTTCCCTTCTATCCAAAGGATAGGATCTTTTTCTCCAACCTGTCAGTTTGATGTCTTTTCCACTTTGTTAGATATCAATCAGTTTGTGAGAAACCTCATGTTGAGGAAACATTTTAATGAAGATATGATTGATATAGATAGCACACCACATGCTGTGCAGCTTGAAGACAGTTTACCATCATCCTTTTGTTTTGAGCATTTGTTCATGGTTTCCACTTTGGATAGCCTTCAGTCTGAGTCTGGTATGGGCCGATGTGGTATTGTTAAACGTTCTGTCACCACAGGTGACAGATACTTTTATCTTGTCCAAGCTCGGAGTGAGGCAGTAGACTCATTTCAGCATATTTTAGAAATAGAATTGAATAAATTGAATCTGATCATTCCAATTTTCCATCATCTCCCAAAAATACACAAACAGCATACCCCGTCCAGGGACATCCTATAGTGGCAGGAATAGGATCTTTATTGGAAAGGCTCAGTGAATGCGTTGATAAACACCTCAAACCCTTTTTTACCTGCTTACCAGGATATTTAAGGGACACTGGCCATCTTTTAGCCCATACACATGAGATCAAGTGGACAGAGCAGAACAACTGGCTCACTATAGATGTTAAAGCACTGTATTCAAGCATATCACACCATCTAGTCCTATCAGCTATTAAACATCACTTGATATATTATAGTACACATAATATGCAGCTAAGGGAATTTTTGTGCATGGCAGTTGAATTTTTGCTTAAGCACAATTTCTTCATGTTTGATTTGAAATATTACATCAAATGTCAAGGGGCATTAATGGGAGCTAAGTTCTTCCCTTCATTAGCAAATGCATATATGGGATGGTGGGAGGAGACTTTCTTATTTTCTCACAATAACATATATAGATCTCATATTGCCCGATACAGTCATTTTATTGACGATCTGATTTTAGTCTGGACTGGTACAGTTTCGGAGATAAAATTTTTTATTGCATATCTGCATTATAATAGTTTCAATTTGGAACTTACATATAACTGCTATCCGAATACTATTAATTATTTAGATTTGACTTTAACAGAACATGTGGAGAGTGGAAATGTCACTACCAAAACATATAGAAAACGTGTAAAAAGTGTATGGGTGATTCTCTATTACTTGCCTCTAGCTGTCACCGGACACATACTATTAAAGCATTACCTATAGGTAAATTTGTTAGGATGAGAAGGAATTTTTCCACTCAATCTGATTTTTTAAAGGAATGTGATATAGTCTCAGTGTCAGGAATGGACTGGCCAGCAATGGTGGGACTCACCTGCCTTTTGATCTGTGGTACCAGGGCTGGCCAGCGGGTGCTCCCAGCAATCAGAGACTCAACCTTTCAGCCAGCTAACACCTGGAACTGATGATACTGGTGTATTTAAGGGATGGCCAGACTTGCAGACTCTGCCTTGGTGTTGTGTTTGTCCTGGGCCCTGTATCTGTCCTGCATCCTGTTTCTGTTCCTTTGCTGACCCTGCCTGATCTGAACCGCTGCTGACTTCTCCTGCTCTGATCCCGGCTCGCTCCTGACCATCCCTCTGCCTGACCCTCTGTACCACGCTGCTTGCTACCTGTTCTGATCCCTGGCTTGTGACCCTGACCATCCCTCTGCCTGACCCTCTGTACTACGCTGCTAGCTACCTGCTGAACCTGGCCTGTGACCCCGACCCATCTCCACTTGCTCCCCCTGTACCTACCTGCCCTATTGATATTGACCCGGCCTGCCTGACGACGCTTGCTTGTATGTACTGTTATCTGTGGGTGGTTGGTTTGGTTTGTTTGCACTGTATTATGTTTTAGTATTGCACTGCGTTTATGTTTGTATGGTTAGTGTTAATAAATTATATTGTTTATCACATATCTGAAGTCTGCGTTTCCTTGCGTCAGTCACATACCTCTGGTCACACTTGGGAGCCCTGACACTCAGAGAGGCTAAGAGAGCAGGGGTATAACAAATATCTAGTATATCAAGGAAAGATTGCAGCCCTAGAGAAATATCGGGATAATTTAATTATTTAACCTTCAAAGAAAAACAAATTCCATAAACATAAATCACGTCATAAAGTTCATTTTTTGACCACATGTTCCATACAATACAATCAAATTGTCAGCATTGTTAAGAGATGTTTACCGATTCTTTATGCTGATACGGCGTTGTAATTTTTCCGGTAGGAGAGCTCCCACTTTAGGTACTTTACTATCACCTAGCTTGTTTTGTTCAAGAACCTATCTTAAAAGTAGTGAATGGTTAAGAAGAACTAAGGGTTCTTACATATGTGGTAAAAACACATGTAGACAATGTAAAAGACATAAAAAAAGTACTGCAGTTAATTCCTTTTCTACAGGGAAAACATATGCGTTGAAAGGTTATATTAACTGGAATTCCAGAATGGTTGTTTTTATTACAGAATGCAGTGTCTGTTATCTTCATTTTGTGGGGTGTGCCATTCATTCATTACGAGTTAGAATATCTGAACATTAGAACGACACTAACAACCCACATGCTAAAAACATTTCTAACGTCTCTAAACATTTTAGAGAGAAGCATGGTGGGAACCTTGATCCCTTTTCTATCCTTGGCTTGGAACATGTAAGAAAACCTATAAGAGGAGGAGATGTACACCGCACTCTACTTAAGAGTGAAGTGTGGATCAATATGCTCAATACTAGGGTCCCTTTTGGCTTAAATAATAGAATGGATCTTTTTTTTGGATTGATAAATGAATGATGATTTTACTATTTCCATTCCATATTTGAAATGCATGCATCCATGGTGAGAGCAGTGTTGCAATTGGGCATTTGTGGTGCTGTTCTTACACTAGAATGCATACAGCTGTTTTATGGGACAAAGTTTTCTTTCTCTCTTTAAAGTCTCATTGATTCACCTTCACCTGTAATGATTATTTTAATTAAGTATGTACCAACCCCATTCATTTTGGGCTGTTATGTTATATGCGTTTGTATTTTAGTTCTTTGATGTAAGCTTTGAGAAAGGCTGTGGCCTAAACGCGTCAACTTTTAGAGATTCTATATTTTCCACTGTGTGCCATTAACATTACTATGATGAGGAAATGAGTTGCCGGCTATATTGTTACATATCTTGGATTTAAAAACCAGCCTGAGCACCAGCACCCCACCCACATCTTTCTGATGAGCAGTAGAGGTGAGTTGTTGTCTCTACACATTTCCACAGCTTAAAAATGTTTCCAGCCAGCCAGGATGTCCCCTGTACATAGGTGCCACTGTCTTTATTACACTGGAAGGTCAGAAATAATATAGCTGGTTGAGTTTTTTCTCAAAATAAATGGAACCTACAGCACATGTGTGGGTGGAGAGTACACCAGCCAGCTTAGATTTTGAAGTAGAAACTGCATGGTCCTGTCTCTTTATCTTAAAATAGATCTTAACCCAAACATTATAATAACATTGAAACATGTTAATTCAATTTCAAAAGTTTTTTTCAGTCTTTTTTTATTTTCAGATTTTATTAAAACAATATCTGGCGGCCCCACCATGAACATTCTAATTCAAGCACTTCCTGTTATGGATTGACCAAGTTGTGCTCTGGTGCTGCCATCTTTTCACACATGCCCCTGTTGAAGACTACAAGGGGTAGATTTACTAAAACTGGTGCACTCATAATTTGGTGCAGCAGTGCATGGTAGCCATTCAGCTTCTAACTCAAAGTGTTACTAAACCCATGACAGAAAAAACAGTCTGTATACTCAGTAAAGCATGCTTGTTATACTCACTGTGGAACCTAAGGGGTTAATCTTCTGGATTGTGTAAAAACGCTTTATTCTGAGTTCTCTGATCCTCTTCCAGTGTCCCCCTCTTATCTCCTGATAAGACATATCATGTGGAGTCACTCTGCACATGTTCAGTTTAGTGTGTATTGCTAGAAAGGTTTTTTTTTTGGAGAGTGCATGTGATCAATCAGCACTGTCCAAACAGAGGTCAGGGCTCTGCATCCTCCTACAGCAGAATGAAAACTCCTCCTCCACGCTTTAACCAGTGCTCGGCTGGACACTGATAGAAGTCACAAGACTGCTCTAACTGCTGATGAGAAATGGTATTTAGCAGTGTATATTTACTAAAATAATCATCTTCCATGTTCTGTGTACTGTGAGAGACCAGATATAGTAAATGCAGGGTCCTGGGTTTAGTAACACTTTAAGCTTGTTCAATTAAGCTTTTGCAATACAACCTGGAAGCTGATCGGTTTCTATAGAGAATTTCATCATATTTTGCACTCTCCAGTTTTAGTAAAAAAAAAAAAACTGTGTCGATGCCAACACTACAAATTCAGTCAGGTAAAACGCAACTAATTCTGAAGCACATATACAGTACATGAAAAGAATGTGAAAGGCTAGAGGAGTAAAATAAATAAATAAATAAATAAAAAGTAGGTGAAAAACAGTATAATATGAAAAACATCCTGACCAGTGCTTATGATATACATTAACTTGCAAATGAAAATGAAATTTAAGAACTACTTTACCTTTGAGTTTTTATAATACAGTACAGCCATATTTACCAAACGTTTACATGTGCTTCTGGGCAGTACAACAGTTCTCCTTTCTTATTCTCTCCTGAGCCATGGCATAGAGTCCACAATGATGACAATGTCTGATTTGCACTTCTCCATAGAAACCAATCAGCTTCCAGGTTTTATTGCTAAACTGAACAAGCTGAGATTAGAAGCTGATTGGCTACCATGCACAGGTGCATGAGATTCTGAGTGAACCAGCTTTAGTAAATAAACTCCACTGTGTTGATCATAAAGGGCGTCTTATCCTACATGCATTTCATAGCTCTTTTTTCAGAATACTTTTGGCTTCCAACATGGGGTTTTATTTCTACTGCTGCATTCTATAAATTGTTAAAAAAAATACAAGAGAGTTGGAGGGGTACAAGTATTAGAGTTCGTGGGAGATAAAAGAACCTGGTATATGAATCAATCTGTCACATCTGTAACACCCTGCAGTAACACTGGTTGAGGGATGTTAAATGGACACAAGATGGCAGTGTTCTGCAGTTCAGTTGAACAAAAGCTTTGATGGACTTGTAGGTTGATAGCAAGACTTCATTGTTTAATAACAAGATAACTAACTTCATTTCCCAGAGGAACTGGGTGATAGGTGAAGGCAAATAAATACAGAAGCCGAGGAACCTGAAGACAGGAAGTGGACGGTGAGAGACAGAGAGAAGATATGAGGAGAGGACTGCACGGGACGTAGGAGGTCAGGGCTGAGCCAGTCCACAGAGAGTGAAGGAGTGAGGAGGAGTTGCTGAATGCAGACACTGCTGAAAAATCAGACTGACAATCCTGCAAGCAGATGGAATGGAGTGCTGTCTTCCACAGTGCTTTTTGACTGAGGAATCAAGATAAATGAGAACCCCTCCCCTGTAGAGAGACTATCTGCTATCTGACTGAGGCTACCGATCGGGTGAGAGCGGTCCATATTCAAATCATCTAAGTTGCAAAGGACTTTGCTAAGTTAAGTTACTTTCTTTTCAGTTCAGCACCCTTTGTTTCACAAGTTATTGTGCTAAGGCCTAGATTGACAGGCCTATCCTACCTGTGGCCTACTGATTATCATACTCTCAACACATTGCATCACAGGATTCTGCTGCCATATATGCACCCTGCAGATCAATTTACATTAATGCTTCAGTTCCAGTCTGTGCTACTCATCAAGGAACTTCTTTATCACCCTAATTTGTCATCCTTAAAAGAGGAATTAACCCCAGCTGAAGTTTGCTTCCGCCCTTTTCCTTAATCTTAGCCTACTCTTAGATTTTACTCTGTATATCTTTAAGAGATATCATTCAAATTCAACATCACCTAAAGGGGAATTTTCCTTTCCTTTGTGTTCACCCCTCTTAAGGAAGTCTTGCCCTTACATTGAGAAAGATTGAAACCCCTCATGTGCACCAACTAGGGCCCCATCAAGCATACAGAAGAATGGACACTTCAGAGTTGAAGGGACATTGATATATCTAAATAAAGAGTTGTTTCTCTTCATAGTTACGCCCCAGCCACCAGTGGCTGCGAGCCGAAACGTAAATTAGTCAGGCTATTTGATAGTTTCCCTTCAGCTCACTTGGAAAGAAACATCTCAGAGCTGGAGCTGCAGTTTAAATTCTGATTTGCAGAACATTTAAGAGTTGATTAAAGTGGTACTGTGGTGCAACACTTGGCTGAATTTTCTAAAGTGTTTAACTTTTAATCCATGCACATATACTAACGTCATTTTGTTGTGCTTACACTCTTTACACTTTGACCTCAATATAACCAGAATATCAATTTACTCTAAACCATGTGTGTCTATTTTTATGGTTCCAGGCCAGGGTGCCCCTAGTCAAAGGTTTAAGGTGGTGTCAGCAGGGGTTGGGCTTCCAAGGTGGGCTCAGGACAGACAGGGAACCCAAAAATACTCAGCGGCCTTCAAGGGGATAGTGCTACACAACTATCCCAAAAACTCCTGTTTTATGTGGATTTATTATTTAATATACTTGCAAAACAAGCTACCATATTTAATTGAGGCATTAGGATGATGATCTATGCAATTGCCATAAAATACAATTAACTATCTTCTTCCCAATGATATAACAGGCAAAGTCTGCCTATAATTCATTCTATTGTAGGTTATAGGGACAATCTGTTAATATTATCTCTTATTATGGATAAATAGACATCTATGTACATTAAAACCAGATTGATTTTGCAAGCTCTTATTGCCACTTTGTGCAAGCGCTTGTCTTGCTCATTCTTCTGATTTATATGAATCTCTGTCCTCCTTGTAGATTTTCTTAGCGAGCTAAACATATTTAGTCTGCTGAGCAGCCAAAATGAATGCTCCTTTTGAGCACTTAATCAATGAGTGAACTTGATTTCTGGAGTCCTTTAGGCCACATTTGTGTTAAGTCATTTAGATTGCAGCTTAAGAGCACATCAGGTATTCTCCTGTTGGCACAGAATAGAAGAGTACAATAATTGCTAGTCTCAGATCTGGGGTTATATAATAAAGGACCCCAGTCTACCCTAGCAATGAGCCTAATGTGGCAATTAAGAAAACAAGCTATAATGTGTGATTCAATCATTTGGATGGCCTACTTCATCGTATTAACCCACAACAGACCATTGCATACTTTTCTGACCAGTGCAATTTTGAACACTTTCACTGCTGTCTGCCAAATTTTTATCAAAATAACATCTACTTTATACAAAGCAACCCGTATGGTATCTTGCTCCAATATTTAACTATCCCCCTGCATAATTTGGAGATCAGTGTAGGCTGTACTACTAATGGTTAGCTGACAGCTAGCTAACAAAACTGACAGAAGCAGTGTTGTGTTTTATTGCAAAACTGAACTTGCGTTTGTGAGACTAAAATTACAATATTGTACATGTCTCTTACAAATGCATATCGTAATTTTAGTTTATGTGATTGTACTGCAGTTTTACAGAACTAATCACAGATGTAAAATTTGTTTGGGGAGGAAACACAACGCTACTTCTCTCAGTTTTGTTAGATAGCTGTGGCTAACTGTTATTAGGACAGCACAGTAAAAAGGCTTATGTGTATCAAACTGAGAATGGAGGAGACCTTCAGTAGTGTTCTTCTAGAAGCTAAAAAGGCAGCAGTGGTTTATGGGAATTCTTTATTTTTAACAAACATAAAACACTTCCTGTTCCTTATTGATAAGGGCGCAATTGCAGTGAACACTCAATTCTTCCTACTCAAAACAATGTTGATATACAGAACAAACATTAAGACATAAAAAAAAGCAAAAATTAAGGAGCTCAAAAAAGGCATGTGGTACTAGCTTCATGTCTTGGTCTCTGAGACTGAGATAACATTGTCTATCCATTATAAAACAATTGCATATGATTACTGGATGAGGTATTCCACACCACTGTTAAGTCGCTTCCATTGACCAGGAAACTTTCTGTTTTTTTGACAGGGATACTGACGGATTCCTACACACGTTAAAACTAATTTCCAGCAGATGTTATAAAAATGAAATGCAGTTTTATATAAAATTAAAATCATATTTGCACTTAACTTGTCCAACCACATATATTTTAAAATAGATCTCTTTGTCTGTATTAAAAAAAAATGTCAAGCAGGAATTACCCTCTCCACATTCTAGGGACCCCCCTAGCAAAGCATCTTGTCCCCATGTTGATGAGGACAAGGGCCTCTTTCCCACAACCATTTCAGTGGTTGTGGAAATCTGCAGGTGAGGGCTTATCAGATTCTGGAAGAATCCTTTAATAATAAGGGGGCTCCCAGATACCGCCATCCCTATGTGACAGTGTACACCTACTCATTCACAAAAAAAAGTTTTAGCCTAGAAATAAAGACACCCAAATATGACAAGTCTGATTTTGTGAAAGCTGATAATGAAAAGGTGGGTGTTACTTAAAGAGAGGTGCATTTTATTATCTTTTTTTATTTTGTGTTAATTTATTAGAGGTAAATATGCATTTTTAAGATGTATCTAAAAAAAGAGAAAATACATACATGGGCCAAGAGTAAAAGAGCAAACAATAAAAAAATACGTGGGGGGAGAATATAACATATGAAGTCCTTGGGACTCCGCGGGAGAAAAGCATGGTCCATAGGTTTTTCTTATTGGGAACATCAGAACAATGGTTCGGGGATTGCGGTAGACGAAACTGAGCAGGAACAAGAGGTATTGAAAAATGAGAAAAATTACAACTTTCCACATATTGCTAATTCACATATGTGTGGTACAGCTTGACAGCTCCGGTTTCAGTGCAAATTAAAAAGCAGTCATTCAGCGGTTCAAGTCTGGTTCAGGTCAGTATTTGAAGAGAGGAAACTGGCCTGAAATCATGTTCACAAACTCATGACATGTGCGATTCAGAAGCAGTTCCCATAGAGGTCAATGAGACTGCAGCACCTGACCCAGACCGCACTGCTCAGAAATCAGACAGGACTCTTTTTCAATCCGCACAGAATCCACACTACCAGTCCCCTGGATGTATGTGAACAGGCATCATAGGAAGCAATGTTATTTCACGTCATGCGGATTGGATGCGGTTCAAACTGTATCCAATTGGCATATATGTGAACAGACACTATTGAATTGAATTGAAAATGAAGAAGTACTTAATAAGCTGAAC